CGCTTATCTCTCTCTCTCTCTCTCTCTCTCTCTCTCTCTTTCTCTCTCTTTCTCTCACTCACTCTCTCTCCGTTCTTAGCAGTAATGCCCAGTGCACTTTGCCTGTAGTATTGAGTTGGAGCCAGCCAGACTTTCTTTACGAAGGGGCACCCCCCCCCTCCCCCCAGGACAGTGCTACTGACTGAAGTTGTCTATTGACCATTGCCAAAGGGGGATATTAATGTTCATATGCACAAGTAGAATTTAATTGTAAATGGACAAATTTATCAATGTCATGCTCATACTATGCTGGAACAACATAGGGGGAACTGCTGCGTTTTCTGTCCTCATCCTTACTATCGTCATTTTTCATCTACTTCTTTTGTATGTTTGTCACTCTCTTGTGAACTGTTTCTTCCGGGGTGCCTTGATAATCGAAGCAGACTTTTTTGCTTTTGAGGCTTAAGAGGTGAGCAGAGTAAGCCCGATTCCCCGTTTTGGACTTTTCTTTTAACATCCACCCCTTGGCGCTCATATTATGACCTTATGCAGTTGCTAGCGCCGTAAAAGATGACTAAAACTAGATCTAGACTAACTAAGGATGGGCAAAAATAACCGTTTTGCTAAAAAAAATATTTTTAAAAACCCAACCAATTCGACTTGCAACCTTGAAAAAAACAAACAAGTGTTGCTACTACAGTGCATGCAGTCAAAAGTTTGTGGCACAACTTTATTGCCAAATGTTTCCACCACTATCGAACATAAAGTCTCCTGTTCTGCACAGTGACTTGTATCAATTTGTCTTAACAGATTGATATTTTTGTAAGCACTTAACTGTATTCTAGAAAATTCTTTAATAAATACTAATTAAAAATCCCAGTGAGTTGCTTTTACCGATTTTAAAAGGTTTACAGCTGGGACAATATCGCTTTTAAATGCAAGTCCGTCATTTTATTCTCGAATCGCGACGTCATGTATGCTTATTGAACACATGTGTTGAGAACATTTAATGCAAAAAGATGTTCACTTAAATTAGTATCTTGTAAAATGTTTTACACCTAAAAATGTGTCATTATTTATCAGTGACGCAGGCCATATTATTATATGCGTGTATGTAAAATGTGTGTGAGAAACGGGAAGTGCTGTGAACAATCCCATTTTCCACGTGACGGAGATGTGTAGTATTATAATATCCAAACTTTCGAAGAAAAGTTGTTTCATTTTTTGGTTTTTTAAAATGTAGCTTCAGTCGCTGTGGACAAATGTGGTTAAGTTTAAGACAAATTGATGCAAACTGCTGTGCAAAGTATAGATGGCATTGATTCACCCGTTAAATATATTATATTATTTCAGTATAAGTTGCACCGTGAATTTTTGACCGCACAGTAGGTAGTAAGTAGGTTTTACCCCGCTGTGAAGGAAACTGCGGCTGGCCTCGACTCATCAAATGGATTCGATTGGTAATGTGTACTCGGTATAAGAAAACCAGCGTAATACATAGACGTGCCTTCATTAACATGTCGTGATGTTGTCCACCGGTTCCCTTCCTAAGAAACCCGAGGGCGAATCTTCCGACGACCTGCTGACCCGTCGACGTCAGTTGTCAGAGTTGTCGTCCTTGGACTTGTTATGACAAGCGGTCAGTTCGTGCGTCGTTAACGTAGCCCGGAGCGACAGCCTACGTCTCTCTCTCTCTCTCTCTCTCTCTCTCTCTCTCTCTCTTTCTCTCTCTCTCTCTCTCTTTCTCTCCCTCCCCTCTCTCTCTTTCTCTCTCTCTCTCTTTTCTTTCTGTCTCTCCCTCCCTCTCTCTCTCTGTCTCTTTCTCTCTCTCTTTCTCTCTCTCTTTTCTTTCTCTCTCTCTCTCTCTCTCTCTCTCTCTCTCTCTCTCTCTTTCTCTCTCTCTCTCTCTCTTTCTCTCCCTCCCCTCTCTCTCTTTCTCTCTCTCTCTCTTTTCTTTCTGTCTCTCCCTCCCTCTCTCTCTCTGTCTCTTTCTCTCTCTCTTTCTCTCTCTCTTTTCTTTCTCTCTCTCTCTCTCTCTCTCTCTCTCTCTCTCTCTTTCTCTCTTCCCCCCTCTCTCTCTCTTTCTCTCTCTCACTACTCACTCTCTCTCTTTCTCTCTCTCTTTCTCTCTCTCACTACTCACTCTCTCTCTTTCTCTCTCTCTTTCTCTCTCTCACTACTCACTCTCTCTCTTTCTCTCTCTCTTTGTCTCTCTCTGTCTCTTTCTCTCTCTCTTTCTCTCTCTCTCTCTCTCTCTCTCTCTATCTCTGTCTCTCTCTGTGTCTCTCTCTGTGTCTCTCTCTCTCTCTCGCATATGCACGTGCGCGCACACTCTAGCGCTCTCGCTCTCACTCTGCTCTCTCTCCACACACACTCTCTCTCTCTCTCTCTCTCTCTCTCTCTCTCTATCTATCTATCTATCTATCTATCTATCTTCCATCTATCTCTCACTT